TTTAATTTTAACGAAATTGAGTTAATTAAGGATAAAAGGTAATGTTAATTTGTTTTGATTCCTTATTTAGTGCTAATCATTAATTATCTATAATAATTTCAAATTAAATAACAGCCCACAAATTCAGTCTTTTAATTTATTGTTTTTTAATTCCGTTTAAAAAAAACAATTTTGTTTATTTATTATTATTTTTTACAGTTTTTTCCAATTAATAAAACATTTCTCTTTTTGGTGAATTTGTTAAAACCTGAAATTTTAAATGCTATAACTTGAAACTGAAACTCTACTGCTATAGCTCGAAAATAATACTATAATATATGTTATATATGAAATTTTCACTTAATAAAATTATCTTCTTATTCATAATTTCTTAATATGCCTGTAAAAAGATAAATGATCAACTAATACGAAACGAAAGAAATAATTATGATAACTTCCTAAATTAGTTTATACATGTCTTCTAATTTGCATACTTAATAGACGCACTTTTACTAATTCTCGCACTAAATCATAGTACGTTTTTGTACTGTTGAAGACCAACTGGGCAAAATATTTTTAGTATAATTATAGACTAAAGTCCTCACTACATAATCATGTAAAGTAGAAATTTATCCAAATAATACCCACCAATCTCTAAATATTTCTAGTTTTACTTGAACAAAACTGGGACATGACATCCACCTAAGATATATATAAGATAATAAATGGCAGTACAAGTTTTTGATAATAACCGTTTTAGATATTTTAAGGATCAAAATTACTTTTAAACCATTCGAAAAAGCTCATATATACCTTCTGTTTATTTTTTGTATCAAAATTACTCTTGTTATCTATGTTTTGAACCACAAATGTCCTTAAAACGTTATATTTGTCGTTGGAGCTGACATGTGAGCTATTTCGAATAGTTCAAGAGCAATTTCGAATAGTTCAAAGTACAATTTTGAGTCATTATTTTCATAACATGTGATTTATCTCTCCGTATTATGACAACTTGTGATTGTTTGTGCCAAGGAGATTTGTCATCATACTCGAATAATACAGATTTCACACACGATAAAGGCGTTCCCCATATGAGATCAGGTCCATCCTGGTTGTTCAAATATCAAATCAAGGCCCACCTATAAAAAGATGATTGTGACTTTGGCTTAAAAGTTTTTTTTATGAAGGTTTTAGACTCTGTTTGAATTGATTTATTTTAGGTGATTTTATGACGGCATAACTTTTAAGCATATTTGTAGTATTTGAATAAAGATAGGAAGAAAACGCTTTTAAACATCCACGTTTAAGTTAAAATAACAAAAATAAATAAAAAATTATAAGTTATAAGAGTCTGTTTGTATGAATTTATAAATTTTTATTTATAAGTTAGAAATTTTAACTTATGATTTCACCCCAGGTCGGGAATAATAAGATAGTTACTTCAACAGTCTACTCAGATATTTCATTACCAATACAAATAGAAAAGGAGAATGGATCCCCCTATTCTAGCTGCAAAGGGTTTAGAAGGTTTACCATTAATGAGGATGTAGTAGGAAACTGTTTTAATAGTATATAAATAGTTATATTTTCTACACATGAAGGGCAAAACCACACATTTTATTTCATTGAAGATTAAATGTAGGGGTGTACAAAATCGAACTGAAAACTGAACCAAATCGTAAATTGAGTCAAACCAAAAAAGAATCCAACTAGTGGTTGGTTTGACTTGGTTTGGTGTTAAAAAAACCCCCGACTATATTTGGGTTGGTTTGGTTTTAACTAAAAAAAATCAACCCGAGATCAAATCAACCTGACATTATATATATAATTTTAAAATTTCATTTTATACATAAAAAATATTTACTTTGATATTAATTTTTAAATATTTCTTATACTTTTTCTATAGTTTTTATCTTTTTAATGTATTATTTCAAGTTTAAAACTTAGAATTTTGAATGGTTCGATAAAGATTATAGTCCACAGATGTTGGTAATTATAATAAAACTTAAATCAAAATCAAATTAATACTAATGTGAAAAGAAAATCAATTTAACATTAAGAATGACAATAATATTGAATATTTGTTTTTTGGTTTTACATTGGTTTAGACAATTAAAATACATAATCTAATTTTAATTTCCTTTAATATTTAGTCATGTAACTAATACTTATTAAACTTTTTTTAGCATGATTTAGTACTTTTAAATTATGATCATTTTCGTTATGACTTGTTAATTTGCAATATTTGTTTTACGCGATTTCATTATTATTATTTTGAATATTTTAGTGTCATTAATCATATCATTATTTGTGTTATTTTCTTAAGAAACACCATAGATAGTTGTATTTTGGTAGGGTTGAAGAAATATTTGAAATACAAGTAAATTATATGTTTGTATGAATACTTTACCGGAAAAAACCCGAAAACCTGAAAAAATCAGAAAAAACCCGAGGTTGAAAAACTCGAGTTTTATTGGTTTGGTTTATAGATTTAAAAATCCGACACAAATAGTTTGGTTTGATATTTGAAAAATTCGAACCAACCCGACCATGCACACTCCTAATTAAATGTATATGATGGTCATATATCTCAATAACATACTTAGTGTAATTCCATAATGAAGATTAGGGGATAATAGTAACCTTTGGTGGTAGAAAAACTATTTTCAATTGACTCTCAATTAAAAAACAAATATATCAAAGCAGTTCAAAAAAAGAAATAGTAAAATAAATCAGCCCTTTGTGACATATGTCGAGTCATATATCACAAAGAATAAAAGCAAAAGTTATAAATTATAACTAATAAAGTTACTTGTCTAGTCGGGATGATTTGGAATCTTTTACAAGGAACAACATGATTATTATGCATGTGTACATGGTAATACAAGGTTTAGGGAAAGAACAGTTTATTCCCTGCTATGCGCTAATCCGGATTTAATTGAATCTTTAAGTTTTAAATAGGCCCTCGGCTAAAAAAAAGAAGAAGAAGAAATTGAAACATGACCCAATGATATAATGTGCCATAATAGCAAGTTGAGCCCTAGGTTCTAGATATATAGATGTACCTTCGGCTCAAAAGAAAAGAAAAAAATCAAAGCACATGGTCTAATACAAAGTGCAAGATATATTCAAAGCAAATGAAGCAATCGATAATAGTACACAATTACTAAATTAAAAGGAAGGAACTAATAGAACGTCAAATAGTTAAGATTTTGAGCTTTTGCCAAATACCAATCAGTTCAAACATTGAAATCTCCTACTATGAAATCAAAATCAAGTGTTTTATCGATTTCTTGCATATTTTAATTTTGATTTACACTTTCTTGATATTTACATGAAGGGACGTTGGTTTTAATTAAAATTTAAATGTCTGGCCAAAAAAAGGAAAGATGACAATATCTCCCTGTTGGTTATGCCCCCTACCCCCCACACATCAACTTACTAAAAACCAATTTTCATTAAGTCAAACTTGGATTATTAGTTCATTTGTGGTCCACCATAATTTGGCATGGTGCATCCTACATTTTTTAAATTTAATTTGTGTTAAAAGGAAATTATTTATATCCACTCTTATTTTCCCTATATATAGCTCCAATAGTTTTTGATTTTTATCATTCCTCTCCTTCTAACTTTAGCTACCTTTTAATTTATTCTATCTTTCTTCTAATGGCAAGTGGATTAAAATTATGGTTTGTGTTATTGACTACTATATTGATGATCAACTTTAGGCCATTTTTAGTAATGGTAAAGGGTGAACCACAAGTGCCTTGTTTGTTCATTTTGGGAGATTCTTTATTTGATAATGGAAATAATAATAATCTCATCACTACTGCAAAGGCTAATTATCCACCTTATGGAATTGATTTTCCTGATGGTCCTACTGGTAGATTCACCAATGGAAAAAATTCAGCAGATTTTCTTGGTTCTAACTTCTTATCCTCCTCCTTTTATTCTTTAATTTTATGCTTCTTTTATTATTTATTAGTAATATAATTGCTGCTAATTACCAGTGGCGGAGCCACCTTAACCTCCTTCGGCGGAAAATTATATTATTTATAATTGGTTAAAAGAATATTTACGTATATATAGTAGATGTTGAACCCCCATCGGCTACTTCGTGTGCCTATTTCTTCAGATTTTGAACCCCTTATTAAAAATTCTGGCTCCGCCACTGCTAATTACTATGGATATATAATACGGTACGTACGCATGAAAAATAGACGATTTTAATTATATCACCCTTCAATCTGAATTAGTCAATACATTGTTAACATTACATATATATATAAAACATTGCTCCGGTAGACGGTACATAATACGAATAAGAGAAACTCTCTTAGGTGTAGTAGCATTTTGTGGTAATACGGTACGTAAGACATAGTTTTATTGAATATCTAAATATGTTGACATTATTTTCATAGGGATAATTAATTAACAATATTTTAGTAATGGTACAAATATAACGTACTTTCATTTAATATTATAAATATTGTTTACAATGTGGTAGAGATTATATCGTACTGAATATATTTTTATTTCCTATATTTGCAGCTGAATTATTGGGTTTTGATAAGTTTATTGAGCCATTTTCCACAGTGAAGGGTGTGGATATATTTAGAGGTGTAAATTATGCATCTGGTGCAGCTGGAATTCGTGATGAGTCAGGAATACATTTGGTAAAATACCACCACATATTTTTCATGCATACTATATAACCATTTGAGATAATTATATTCAGAATTTACTAACTCAGTTAATTCAAATTTGCTCTACATATACGGCCATTAAAGGGGAAAGGTGCCACTCCTACCATGAGTTTCTTCGCAGGGCTCAATCGAGACCTCTACTTAATGGTGTAGGATAATAAGACTACGCACATGTCGAGTCCAGTCATTTTTTTTTTGTCAAACGTGGTCTAACAATATTCTAAATTTCATTCTCGTTTGAGTTTTCAAAGAACGTTTGACGTTGAAGTTAGAAAAAAATAAATATAATTTCGAAGTAAAAGTTGGATTTCTTGTTGTTGTGCAAATAGTAGGGCTTCGACCACAATTTTTACTTACAAAAAAGGTTCTACTAGTTTATTTAAATTGTGACATCAACCTGAAAATCGAAATTTCTTTATTTTCACGTCAAATCCACAAACACACATCATAAAAAAAATTTAATTTTGGTATTTACGTCGCTAAACACCCTATACTATAGGTAGTTTGGCAAAATAGACACCAAAAATTAATTATTTCTCATAGACTAGGCAAAGATTAGCCACTTAAAACAATATTTATCAAACTAATTAAGAAGAACTAAAGCCTAAATGACCATTTTTTTCCGATGAAAATGTTCTCTTATTACCACTTACAAATTAAATTTTTAAAAAATAGTATTTTCAAATGAGTTATGCGTAAAAATAAAGATCTCTCAAATAGAAATTCATGAATCCTTTTTTCTTCGCCTAATAATAATACACGCCCCGTGAGAACTTGACAAGAAAAAAAACTAAAAGGACTCATTTCATTTTGCCTGTTTATAATTTTGTTAGGGAGATAGAATCAGCTTGAACAGGCAATTGAGAAATCACAAAGTGACAATTTCCCACATGTCTACTCTACTTGGAAATAAAACCTTAACTATGGATTATCTAAGCAAATGTATATACATTGTTGGAATGGGCAACAATGACTACATCAACAACTACTTGATGCCTCAATTTTACCCATCAAGTCATTTGTACAAGCCAGAAAAATATGCTACAATCCTAATGCAACAATATTCAAAACAATTAAAGGTACGTACAAATCATGAATAAATCACTTCTTATTTAACATTTTTTATATATATATACACTCATTATAACTAACATGTTTCGATCCATTTTAGACATTGTATCGTTACGGAGCAAGAAAAGTTGCTGTTTTCGGTGTAGGTAGCTTAGGCTGTATTCCAGCAGAATTAGCTTCGTATGGAACAAAAGACACAATATGTGTCGATTTTATAAATAGTGCAGTTCAAAAATTCGCGGACAAGTTTAAACCAATGATCGATGATTTCAACAATAATTTACCCAACGCGAATTTCATCTACATCAATCTAACAAGCATTGCTATCGGAGATCCAGCACAAATCGGTATGTTTATTAAACATAACGTTACTTCAACATAAATTGAACTATACAGCTAGTGTAAAGAATTTTTTATACGTTATTATTTGGTTGTAGGTTTAACAAATTTAGCTGAGCCATGCTGTGAAATTTCGAGCGTCATAGCTAAAGGGCAATGTAGTAATGGAGGGGGTGCATGTAGTGACAGGGCATCACATTATTTTTGGGATGGTTTTCACCCAACAGAAATTCCAAATAAGGTCACTGCTATAAGAGCTTACACTGCTCTTCTACCCACTGATGCTTATCCTTTTGATATTAGCCACTTGGCAGCTAGTACATTAGCTCTAAATAAGTTGGGACAATCAGGGGTGGAGCTAATGTAGAGCTAAGAGCTTGTGTGTTCGATCAAACTTATTAACTTTTATGTGTAGCTTTGTCAAGCATTAAATAAATGTGTCTATTATATGTGATATTATTTAAGACATGAATGACAATATTTGAGTTGATCGATGTTGATTTCTAATGGTGCATAATTAAGTCTTTTGCAATTTTGACACATTAGCTTGAAGAAGTATCAAAAGTTCCTCTTGCGTGTTAGTGACGTTGGGTAGATATTACTATTTTTGAGTAGACTAGTACAAGTTACCTTTAATGCAATTATAATGAGTGCTAAATGGAGACCAATTAGACATCAAATCCAACCAAAAACCATTTAAGATTGGGTCTCTTTAACATGTGTTCGTGTCAAGTTATGATTTGATTTAATTTTGTGTGGTGTTGAATAAAGAAAAAAATGACAATATTTAGTTTGGTTTTATATTAATTAAAAAAATTTATTAAATTGAAATCGAATCAAACTGACATTTCACACTAGATATCACCTTTAGAAAAATAAATTTGTAAAATTTTCTTCAATACTTTTGTCATAGTTTTTATATTTGGCGTGTTATGTTAGGTTTGAGCTTATATTACCCATATATTTTCAAGAATTGTCCAATAAAAATACTCTAATATTTACGGTCCATGAGCTTGTATTATACGTATAGTAAAGAAAGAAATATCATGTTCTACCAAGCAATAGGAATATTGGAAGTAATTTTTGCACACGAATTGTCCTCCAAATGAACTGGTATTTAATTTTGGAGAAGTTACGTAAATCCCACTAGTTTAGGAGCTAATTAATTAAATACATTCTAGTTGGCAATATTACGTATCTTACCAGATTTTGGCTCCTCAAGATACATCCAGATACATATATATCAGATACATGAGGTCAAATTTAGGTGTAATTTGTTCTAGGTACATTGTATCCAAGTGGATTCGCATGTATTTGGGATACATGGCAAATCTCGCTTGCCTCTCTCCCATCTCGATCTCCACTCTCTCATGTATCTGGTATCCCAGATACATGCGAATCACTCCAGATACATGTATCTAGTGAGATTCACATGTATTTGAGATACATATGAATCTCGTTCGCCTCTTTCCTATTTTTATGTATTTGGTAGCATACATGTATCTAAGTGTAAGATACGTAGAAAAATCTTAATTAGTGGTATGATACGTAATATTTTAAAAATATAGAAGTAGATATGACATTGAAGTATGTCTAATTAGGTAGTTTTTCCTTTAAATTTTAGATGAGTGGAAGTAATTTTTGCACGATTGAACTTTTAGTTGATAAAAATTAAAGATCACCTGAATATACATATAATTGGTATTAAGAAAATTAAAAAAATTAAAAATTAAAAAAAATACATATAATTGGTATATACTAAATTATCAAATATAAGCTTTAATAAATTGTATTTCATATTTGATATTTTAATTTACGATATGGTGTTTAATTTTTTATTTTTTTAAATTTGATATTCAGATTCAATAAGCTACTTAAAAATTATCAAAATATTGCTACGACATATACCGAACTGCAAACGAACTTACAATTACTCATAGTTTAGATTATAACACAAATATAAGAATATAATAGTTTTAACTTATTTTATATTCAAATGTAATTCATGGTTTGTGAGGTTTGATTTTGTAATCCGTTACAAAGCAAAATATATGACATTTTTTTAATAAAGGATGAACAAAAATAATATAAAAAATCTATAAATTAAACAAATGTTTAGAGGAAAATATCTCATATACAAAAATAATTTTACAAGTTTAAATCAGTGTTTTTTACTATTCACGATCTAATAAGCAAATTCGAAATTAGTTTTCACGACCCAAAAAAATGGGAATTGCTAGTTCAAAAATTCAATCAATTCTAATTTCATATCCCGCCATACCTATCAACGCTCTCTTTATAAGCTTAGTCCACCTAACATCAAGGGTTCGTTTGATTGGAAAACAAAATTATTTTAAAACTAATTATCTTAAGATTAGTTATTCAGGATTATTATTTCACTCTAAATATGAAATAAAAATAATATTATAATCTTAAATAAAATAAGTTGTATTGCAATTTTTTCTCGATGAAATATAAAATAAATTTAATATAAAATTAATTTCAAAATTACTTGTTTTTTTCCCTCATACCAAACTAACCGTAAAATTATTAAATTGATATTGCTTTAATTTGGTAAATGACACAAAGTAATTTTTATCTTTGATAAATGACAAAAAATACTTTTATTGCGTATCTTACATGATTGTCTGGAATCTTTTTTTTTCTGATAAGTTAGGTGACCTAATTCTTATATTTTTGAGTCCTCAAATTTAAGTTCATTAACTTTGAGATTTAAAAAAAAATCACTTAAAATAAAGTTTTTCAGTAAACTACTTTATAATATAATTTACTAGTTTTTTATGTGAGTTTGTCGTATTTTTGCATTTTTAAAATAGTAATAAAATTTGTGTATTACATGTGGGACTATGTTGTTGACGACGTTAAAATACAAGTACAATCACAGTTCCTTATCACTTTTCTTCGGGAGCGTTGAGTTTCAATTATGACAGACAGCAACCGGCGATTGTGACGTTCGTGTCCGCCGGCAAGATGAGGATCTCCGGCTATCCACCGTTGTCGGTGATTATATGGTAAGAACCTTCAACTTCCTCTTGCTTTCTTCTAGATTCGTATACTGGTTATTTTTGAGTCCTGCTCTATGTCAAAAAATCAATTTACTCATATTTGGTTGGTCAAAATAATATTTTAGAAAAATAAGTTTCTTTTATATGGCCAAAATAATTTTTCTAATTAGAGTAAAAGAAATAATTTCTTAAGTAATAATTCAAGTTCATTATCTCTTTCCTGCCCATCCAGTATCTCCAATACCCAATCCTTTGGCCATCCCACCTCCGAACCCTCACTCCCCACTCAATTCTATTCACATGAGAAGTTTTTTGTTAAATTATATATAAATACTTTTGAGATAGTAATTTTTTACTTACAACTATTTTACTTTTTGAAATTTAACTCGAAAAAAAAAAAGGAAGAGAAAAAGCATTTCAGGGCTAAATGCCCCCTAAATATGTTTCATTTTCCAAATGCTGGTTATGCCTTTGGCCCACATCCAGCTACTAAAAAAAATTGCATCAGATCTTTTTGATTGAAGAAATTTCTTTATCACTGATAGTTTTGATTTTAACTATTCTTTTCCTTTAATGGCTAATAGTGGCTTCATTGTATGGTTTGCGAAGGTGATTACATTGCTAATTTGTATGAATTTAAAACCCTTGTTGGTTAAAGGTGAACAACAGGTGCCCTGTTTGTTCGTTATGGGTGATTCTTTATTTGATAATGGAAATAACAATAATCTCCTCACTGCTGCAAAGGCGAATTATCCACCTTATGGAATTGATTTTCCTGATGGTCCTACTGGTAGATTCACCAATGGCCGGAATGTAGCAGATTTCCTTGGTTTGTCCTAACTTCTTCTTCTTGTTGTTTATTCTCTCTTTTTCTAATGTGGTCCCTTAATAAGGGTATGTTCGGTACGAAGGAAAATGAGAATCAAGTATAGGAGGTGGCGGTGGAGGTAGAGAGGTAGAGGATGTCTGGTAGTGAATATGGGGGCTATGTGAGTTGGGACGAAGATGAGGTGTGTTGAAAGTTGGGGATGATACAGATTAATGTGAAATGCCGCTTGTGGAACTTGTTTTTCCTATTTCTGTTAACTAAGTCATTTTTATCATTTTCTGAACTAACTTATTTTTCTAGAAAAAATGTTTCTGTTTTCATAGTAATGCTTTAACTTAAGCAACTCTTTAGTGATATACAAACAACATACTTTAATTGAATATTTCTAAACTACTACTTATGATTTGGTGGATCCTAACTGAATGTATTCCTATATTTGCAGCTGAACTGTTGGGTTTCGATAAGTATATTGAGCCATTCGCTACTGTGAAGGGTGTGGATATGTTTAGGGGAGTGAACTATGCATCTGGTGCGGCTGGAATTCTTGACGAAACAGCAATTCATGTGGTAATCGTACATTTCATCATGTCCCTCGTCTAGGACGAGCATTTTTTTTGTGTTTAGATTAATGACAATAAAAAGACTTCTACCGTTTCTCATTGTTCAGGGAGATAGAATCAGCTTGAATAGGCAATTGCGAAATCACAACGTGACAATTTCTCGCATGTCTACTCTGCTTGGAAACAAGACCTTAACTAAGGAGTATCTAAGCAAATGTATATACATTGTTGGAATGGGTAACAATGATTATATCAATAACTATTTGCTGCCTCAGTTGTACTCGTCGAGCCATATGTACAATCCAGAACAGTTTGCTTCAATCCTAATTCAGCAATACTCAGAACAATTAAAGGTACAAATGAAGTTTCCGTTAATCAATTCCTCTAATTTAGTTTTCTTGTTTACAGATTACTTACTAACTTTACTCCACAGACTTTGTACCTTTACGGAGCAAGAAAAGTTGTTGTCTTCGGTCTAGGAGGCATAGGCTGTGTTCCATCAGAACTCGATTTGTATGGGACAGGGGACTCTGTCTGCATCAACTCTATAGATAGTGCAGTTCGAAAATTCTCTGACAAGCTTGAACCTATGATCGATGATCTCAACAGTAGTTTGCCCAACGCAAAGTTCAGCTACATAAATTCTACAAGCATTGCAGTACCAGATCCTTCATCCATCGGTATGTTAAAACATTTCACAACCAGAGTTGAATTAAGGATCTAGAGTTAGTTGATTCAGAGTGACTCTGACTCTTTGATCATGCTGTTATATGTACATAGAACAACTCTTCCTAGATTTGGCTCTCATCGTACACTTGTATATAGAATGTTATTTGTGGTGAATATAATCATCGTGCCCTCATATTTAGCTAAATTTTGATTGCAGGTATAACAAAACTACGTGAGCCCTGCTGCGAAATTTCGGGCACTATAGGTGAAGGGCAGTGCAAACATGGAGGAGGTGTATGCAGTGATAGAGCAGCACATTATTTTTGGGATGGTTTTCACCCCTCAGAAGCTCCAAATAAGGTCACTGCTGAAAGAGCTTACACTGCTCTTCTATCCACTGATGTCTATCCTTTTGACATTAGTCAGTTGGCTCAGCTCTAAATAATATAGACTTTAGGGCTTGTTTAGTTAGGGATCAAGTTATCCAGGGATTAGTCATCCCACCATCAACGCGGGATAAAAGTAACACTACATTCCCAGATCCTGTGATTTTATCCCTATCAAACATGGGATAAATTCATCCTAAAACTAATCCCAGGATTAGGCATGTATAACTTATCCCAATCCTTAGATAAACACTATTCTGCTACCTCATTTTGTATAAATGTAATTGATCCTTCAAATATGAGTCAAAATGATTAATTAGAGCTTAAACTTGATGCTAGTATGCTTAGGCTAAATCTAGCTATTGGTTACTTGTATGTCTTAGACAAGATCTCTTAGGAGTATTAACTCCACTGTATGCGCTCTTTTTGTGTCCGGAGGTTAGGTTGCCATGTCCCCCTCTGGCTCTGTAATTTTTGTTAATCTTATTAACATGGTGTTTTAAAAAAAAAAAGAGCTTAAACTTGATTGCTTTGCACATAACTTGTGAGTTCTATATATTGTTTGCAGTAAAATTGTCTTGGATGAAGGATACCTGATACCATCTGCTATTGATTTTATTTAAATTTTGATGAAGGACACTAGTTCCAATATTTCGCAACTAAACGCTAGTTCCTCATGTTTATGGCATATTTGTCTGTTTTAACAAGACTAATTTTGGACCTCTTGTTAATATTTAACTAGCGCTTGACATGTAATTGAGGGATATATAGTCATTTTTTTAAGGCGGAAACAATATTTGGACAAAAGTATTTTGAGCTAACCACGGAAAACTCCAACACAGGGTGCTGGAGATGGAAGCTTTGACAAGTGAAAGTCCAGTACAATGTGCTGAAATTCAAATATAAATTCTGGAGTTTTGGACAACTGTGCAGTTCAAAATTGTGTAGTCGTGGCCCTTAAGTGAAGATATCCCAAACATTTGTTCAAAGAAGATTTCCATATAGCTGATTCTCAAAGAGTATGAATTTATCATGTAAGACGAAATAATTTATCAATCAATTTGGGTCCTTTGATGGATTTTATTGATGTGGATGATATTAACGTAGACACGTTCACCAAAAATATATGAAATTAACAATCAACTAATATGGTTAGAAGATTGGAACGGACTAAAAAGGAAAGAGTGTCACATAAAATGAGAAAGAAGGAGAGGAAGTATGTATTATATGAAGTTGAATGCAAAAAAATGTAATAATTAAAGGAAAGTGAAGAGATCCAAATTAGCACAAAATAAAAGCAACATAATTGGACAGAAAAACAGTTATGAACTTAATATAACAAGCATAATTCTTCATAGTTTACTGCCTGAAAAGGAAGTACACCAAGCAAAAAAATACATGCCCACTTAATTAACATACAATATTCAAGAGTCTTAGCTCATGCAACAAGTAATTAATATAATATGGTATACATACTTAAGTTGATCATCTTCAGTTCCAATAGTCTTCAAGCTTAATAGTAGTCTTCTTTTGTGGATTATATGTAGATCACATCAGAAAGAAGACCATCTCTCAAGCACATTAGCTGTTCAACAAAAAGAAAAAAGAAGAAGATACCTTTAGTACCGTTTCATTTTATGTCTTAGTTTGACTGAGCACGATGTTTATATAAAAAAAAGAGTAAAACTCACACTAGTTGAATAGGGGGTTGGTCTTGTCTAGGGTAATGGTTGTTGGTTTGCAATCCATTAACTTGTAGATAGTTTCGAGTATCGAATTGCTGAGGTGGAGGCACAAGCTCATGATAGCTTGATGAACTCCCTGGCATCAAGTTCATCTGCTGATGCTGATGCTGAGCTCTCTCAGTTTCAGCAATCTGTTTAATTTTATTCACAAAAACAAAACCAATGAGTTTCTGCAGAATAAATTAGTACGTAAATGAATTGATTGATTATTGAGTGCAAGTATGTAATAGACGACTATGGGTAGTTCAGATGCACTTAAAGTCAACTACAATAGTACTAAATAGAGAAACAAATGGACCTTTGCTCTCAGGTACTGATTGTTGTTGTGTAAATCAACTTCCTGCTGGTGTCCATTATGTTACAATTTTGGCATGAAAATAGAAAACATTATATGACCGAAAATGGATCGATTAACTTGAAATGAAAATTAACTAGATGAAAGATTGTACTATGACTTACCCTCTTCTGCATATACTCAATTTCAGCAAACAACAGCTCATTCTGTAGTTTGAGATCAGTCAAATGTTAGAAACTAGAAATTGTAATTTTCATCAAAACAATAGCAACGTCTCAGTCCCAAATAAGTTGGGGTTTGCTATATGAATTATATCATTTGTTCATTTAAGCTCATTTCATACCATCAGAATAGTTAGTAGAAAATTGAAAATTTCATCAGAAAACAGCAATGTTACTAATTTAAGTACCTTTTTGGATCGGATTTTGCTAATCCCTTTTTCAATTTTTTGTTCCAGACTCTTCAGTTCTTTGCTGTTCATTGAACCAAGAGATTCACCCAGCATGTTCCTGAACCAATGCAGTTAAGGTTAAACTGAAAACAATATGTGTATAGTACAAAAAGAACACATGGAATTGTTAAAGGAAAAGATAAAGAACACTAAAAACTTCACCTGTTTTGGTTCTGCAGATTTCCAATTTGTGCACGCAGTTTGGAGGCTTCTTGCTGGTAATACTGCGATTGATTGAACAACATTTTTACAGTTACCATAAGAGCCAACTTGTAATGTATGCCACATATTGTTAAAAAAAAGACCTATGTATGTGCAATGACAAATTTAATACGATTTTCCACCAAGGTGTGTTAATGTGATTTTCGGCAAAGGGGATTCAGATGAACCCTCTTTAGCCTCTCAAACTATACTCCTCGAAGGTGATGGTGTTTGGCGAGACCCCTACCACGTCCATAAAAACTTCAAACTAAAGGATACAAGTATTGGAGGGGGACTTTAAAATATATAGTTTATTCAGTGAAACACATCAGAAGCCAGGTACCATTTTGTTACAAAAGTTTCTGCAAATATGACAAGTAAAATAGGATTGGAGTGAGTAAAGATGAGAAAAGGGAAGTCCATTACTCCCTCCATATATTCCACTTTGCTTGACACGGTTTTCTTATTAGTTTGTTTATAAAAGAATGGCACGCTTTCAAAAAAATTTTTAATGAAAAACTTTCGTAGTCACATAAATGATATTCGTATATAAGATCACTAAGTTTAAAAAAATTAAAATCATACAAATCATGATTATAAATTAGCCGCGAGCAATCAGAATGAGGCCTATTATGACACATATCAGCAACTTCCGATGGGGGTTAGGGGTCCATTCCAACTGGACAAGAGACAAATGCCTTCTATAAGGTTAAAATATGACGAGGCAAACTTTTTTGTTAGTTGGCCAGTTAGGTTGTTCTTTTGACGAGGGTTGGACGGTTTAAGATAGCTTCTTTTGCCCTCTTATTTGAAGGATAAATTTATATCCTTGTGTTATATTCGGAGGTAAGGCCAAGCCCCTCTCTTGTATTCATATTCCGGTATATAACACCCCAGACATGGGAAAATTTATAATTAAAAAAATTACTCTTCCAATTTCTTTGGCAGAAAAATTACGAATAAGGTTTGTGAAAATTGTTTTCAACTAGTGTTTGTAATAATTTGGCAAGACTTGAAAACCTATGCATCCCTAATGTTATTTCTACTACTCTCCTAGTCCTTACTAACACAAAATAGTTGGAATTTCGAGAGTCAATCAAGTTTATTTTTTATCAAAATTTCTCAATGTTTATTCCTTTTAAGTATTATAAGTAGTTAATTATTGTGATCTGTAGTACTTTTTACATATTTTAAAATATTTATATGTCGAAATTCACCATCAAAGTTTGTAAGTTTAAATCATGAAACTCCAATTAAGCCCCATAAACTGAGACAAAGAGAGTAGTAAACTTTTTTCAAGTTTTATAGTAGTATAATAGTTGCCGATATTAGTATTGGTCCTTTATTACAAAAGAAGAAGAATATTTCAACGATATATCCAGAGTAATTCCACGAAAAAGAAGAATATTTCCGGTGTATGAAATTATACCTGAGCATTGGCCTCGGATACTGAACCAGTGTTTGAGGAATCTGAGCATGCTTTCTTGTACCTCTCGATTGTTGCTTTCACACTAGACCATGAATATATATATATATGTTAGATTGATAGCTTCTTTTCAATCATAAAAACTAGTCTATTGACAGACATAATCACATACTATTTCCAATATTTATTATTACATAAAATTAGATGGTCATTGACGAGAGGGAGTTGCTCGGATGGTAAGCACCCCTCACTTCCAACCCGAATGTTGCAAGTTCGAGTCGCCAAGGGAGTAAAAAGGGGTGGGAAAAAAAAGATGGTCATAATTAAGATGTCCATAAGATGACTAAATCTTTCATGGCTATCAAATCAAAATCAAGATTTAAGAGAGGACAGATGAAACTCCCTAACATGAAAGACAAGAAAATCTGGATTTTTCTGTGCTACTAAGAAATAAGGATGTATACATCTTAATTATTCATTTATTCCTTTTGAATTGTTGAGATTAAGGAAGATAATTATATTTGATTTCTCCATTTTCTCTCTTCATAACTTCTAATACTGCTTTTGTTTTCCCTAAAATTTAAAAAAGAGTAAATCTATATATCTTTTTCCCATTCACTTGTTTTTTCTACAAATATCAATTATTTTGAAAACACATGACAAACCAACGAATTAAACGTTGCTAATTAAATTTCAATTTCCAACTTATTCTTCACTTCTTAAGTTTGTTTCGTCTAACCACTAAAAATTATGATGGAGTGGTAAACACTCATTCTATCCTTTTCAATTTTGATCGGTCCGATAAACAAAGTCGTCTTTGATAAGAGAGTATTGTTTCTCCTCCCAAATTAGAATTTCTGACACGAATTTGAATATACTCGGCCTCAAAATAGATACCAAACATCAATTTGTAAATCCCCTAAAAAAATTTAAGAAAAAATGTCCTATTCACTTTGAAAATAATTTTTTTTTACAAAAAAAAAAAAAAAAAAAAAAAAAAAAAAAAAAAAAAAAAAAAAAAAAAAAAAAAAAAAAACACTTCCCTTTTTTTTCAAAAGGTAAAGAAAATCCAAATACTTAGTATTTATTTCTTGCTAATTTAGGCCAACACGCAAAGTTAAAAAAAAAAAACAAAAAAAAAGTATTGTTTTGAGTCAGAAACTCAATGTGTCCACTCAAACATGACATTTGATACAATATTTTCTAGTATATCAATTTTTAGACCTAAGACTGAAACAAAATAAATATAAAAACCAAACACTGAGGGAATGACTCACATTTCCTACTCTGCTATACTACCTTAATTTCCTCGAGCTACTGATTGGCTGCTCTCTGCCAACCTGGCACAATTTCCCACAACATGATTGGTCCAATCTTTCAA